AAATTTAAAAAAAAAAGCCGGCCGGCCGGGTCTATTTAAAAAGTTTCATGTTATGAGAACCAATAAATTAAATTTGAATGGCCTTAAATAACCAATACTGTCAAATTCATGCATCAATTATTACAGTAATAAAGTATAATTAGCGAAAAAAATTTTAATCCTTATTATAATAAACAAAAAAAAATCAAAAATTTTCAAACTATTTGATCTCGCTTACCCTTCTTTCAGATTAAATTCCGCCAACAATAATTATAATAGCCTTTTTACTTTCACTTTTGTAATTACTTCTTTTATGAGACTTTGAAGATGTTTAATTCTCTTTTGTGGTAATTTCTTAGATACAAATCGCAAGTTAACCAATTTGATTTTGCATATTCTGAAACTACTTCAAGATGAACTGCATTTAACTTCCAACATCTCCCTAAATGTAGAATTTCAATAAGGGTTCGAGAATTTTTAAGAAAGTATTCAAGAGATTCAGGTGAAAAATAACGGATAATTCCAATACTTTAATGCCAGAACATGTTTCCACAAGTGAAAGATACATTAAAATATTAGCATGTTCAACTAAAAACAAATTAATAATGATGTCATAATTAAATACTTATTGTTGAATATTTTACAGTACCTGCCAAAAAAACTTACCATAATTCTCTGATATTTCGGGTGCAATGGCTAAATATGCCATTGTATCTTTGACATTATTAATCAATTGCACTAAAGATTCCAGAGGTGGATGACTGCAAAAAAATCGCAATGTTTTCAAGTATGGAAAGCGTGCTCCGCATAATGAAGTCATGTTTTGTTTAGTAAATGGTGAATATCGAAACGTCAATTTCTCCAAGCAATTTAATAAAGCAATAGATTCCAAGAAAGGATCGCATACTGGATCAAGATCCAAATCACAAAAATCAACGCAAGTAAGGGTTTTTGACTGGCTATTAAATGACTTGGCAACTTCTGGCCATTCGTATTTGTTGCCACTAAGAACAAATTTCTTTAATCCTTGTTGTGCTAACATAAGATATGTAAGACCAATAGCTTCACATGCTAATTCATCACTATTGTACATTGAGACTTCTAATTTTTCTATATGATGACAATATTCTGTCATCTTTAGCAAAACGCCTGCTTTTCTTTGTCAAATTCACAAAGACACGCAAACAATTCTTTGCTCCAATAAAAAGTGGAAGTGATGTATGTGTGTTATCATTCAATAACGCGTAGCGTTCTTCAGACCAATATTTTTCCGAATCAAAATCTACGATTACTAATTCATGATGCATTTCAAGACGAATAATTTTTTTACATTGCTCCATAAACAAAATACCCACCCAATTCACGAGCCAATGCGCGAGAATATTCTTTGTAATCCAAGTCTTCCAAGAAGTGCTCAATATTTTCTAGCCATCTTCGACTTGCTAGGTATAATTTTTCTGTATCCAAATTTTGCAAATAATGGATCATGAAATATAGGAGACTTCGATGGTTTTGGTAATAAAAGATATATTGGATAGGAAATTTAAAGTTTACCTCGGTAAGCTTTGGAGATGGTTCATTGGTATCTTTCCAAAAATGAAATGGTTGCTTCCACAAAAGAGGTATAATATTACAACACCAATTCTATTTACAAAGAGATAGCTATGCAAGGCCTCTTTGTCGTATTGTATATATTAAAAAATTTCTCGCAAGGATTCATTTGGTAAAATAACATTTTCTTAAATCTATTAATTAAAAGACTTACTCCTTTCATCGAGAACATCCCAAGGTTTAAATCTTTTGCATTATCAATTGAATCGATTTCAGTTAGTGGAATAGTTAACGAGCAAGCAAATGGGAAATAATAATTTTTAATGATTAAATTTTTCGATGTCACGGTTATAAATTTATCCGAATAGAGAGTAGGCTCTGTCATTCTTTTTTTTGAAAATCGGATTTACTTGAAAAGCTTTAATAATAAACTTATGGTATTTATAATTTTTTTGATAATTTTAAAAAGCGTTAACAATAAATTTATGAAAAGGCTATTTATACGTAGGATCATACGTGTTTCACTAATACATCTCATGATTATACATTTCATCATGCACTGAATACAGTAATACCCGTCATCACACAACTTGCGTTAATATTTGAGTGACGAAAAGGGAAAACCTGTAAATCATTTCACTCATTACTGCATTATCATCGCATACCCCCAGGGGTTTTCCCTTTTCATCACTCATTTCCATTAAACTATCCCGTGTTCTAACTAGTGGTGTGAGTAATTGGTCGTAGCTTTTTTTTACAAAAATTCAATTATACCGTGATCCGATAATCCAAATTGGATGAATTTGATATCATTCGATTCGTCTCGATGTGGCAAATCGAATAGTACCAAAATCGTTCAATTCGAATCACTGGATCGCAATATATTCTCGAAAAACATTATTTGCGAATATCTTGTGATCCAGTGATTCAAATTGGATGATTTTGGTACCATTTGATTCGTCTCATCGAGACAAATCGAGTGGTATCTAAATCATCCAATTTGGATCATTGGATGGATGGATGGATGGTTGGTTGGTTGGTTCACATTATAATTGAGTTTTTTGTAAAAAAAATTACGGCATTGCGCTTACACTACTAGTTCTAATCAAAAGATTTTTGTATGAACTATCGCTATATCTTCGCTGACCTTAAATCTAACTTAGTGCTAAGGCGTTATAAATTTTGGAAATATTTTAAATATATATATTATATATTTCTGTTCCACGTACGTACGTAGAAAATACTTGTAAAATCTTTTTTCACTTTTATGTTATCAACAAACATTTAATTCTCGACGTAGTAAACTTCGTAGTGAGATAGTGAGATAAAATGAGATATAATAAAGTTAAAAATTCGACATAGTTGATGTAGTGAATTTACTAGTAAACTCATAATATAGTGAGTTACTCGCGTATTATAAGAATTTGTCTTGTGTCTAATGCCAATCTGTGATAAATCCATCTACATCTTTTGTATGATTCGAGATTTATCATTAAAATCATAAGTTTTCTATTTTATTATTTTGGTTTATTTTTTTATTTTTTTTTTTTTTAATGGCATGTGTATATTTTCGACGATTTTAAATTTCATATTTTAAATTAGCTCTTAAATTTTTTTTTTTGGTTAATTTTCCCGTTCTGTATCTGTAAAGATAACAATAATCATAAAAAAAAAAAAAAAAAAAAAAAAAAAAAAGGAAAAAAAAAAAAAAAAGAAAAAGGAGAAAAGAAAAAATAAAAAAAAATTTAATTTTTCAAAAATTATCC